CTGCCAGTGAGCAGGGGCTGCAGCCGAGGCCTGGACTTTTCATGCTTGCCGGTGCCCCATCGTCCCATGTGATCTTGCCTGTCCTGCCTCAGGCGCATGACCACCGCCAATGGCAGGCCTGCCCTGCTGCGTCGGTCCTCCCTTTCTTCCCCCCTTCACACCACTCCCTCCCCGCATCCCCGTGTTCTCACTTGGAAGGGGAGGAAGGAGTAGTGTTCGACGATGCCCCTGTCGATGAGATCCTGGGGCACAGTCACATCTGCGCCCTTGCCCTGAGAGTATGGGGGAGTGCACGAGTTGAGTGAGGATGGGCAGGCCAAGGTTGCCCTCGCTGCAGGCGCCGGCGGCCTGTGGCATGCACATCGACAGCGGCCGGGGGCCAGGGTGTCGCAAGCTTGGTTTCCCTCATGGGTTGCCTTGCGACACACACCCCGATCCCCTCCCCAGACCCTCGCGTCCCCCACCAGTCCACAGTGATGCCTGCGCCCACCCGCAGCCCAACCCCCACTCCCAGCACCTGGATGACGAGGGTGAAGTTGCTGGCCGCCAGCTCCTCCGCCTGCTCCTGGAGCTGCGAAAAGATGCCGGTGTAGTCGCGCCGGCTCTGGTCCAGCTTGCCCTGCAGGCAGATGCCGGAGCGTGGCCGCGCCGCTTCTGCCCCAGGCTCCGCCGCCGGCGACAGCCCCGCCAGGGTGTCGTTGATGTACACAGGGCGGCAGGCGGGGAGCACCCGCCTCCAGCTCCCCTCCACGCACTCCTCGGGGAAGATGACGGGGAACATGGGGGCCACCCAGCCTGAGTCCACCTGCGTTCCAAGAGGGACGAGTTTGGGTTTGGGTTTGTGTGACAGGACACTCGGGGTTCAGAAATGTCCGAGGGGAGATGGTTTCCCGGAGCGCTCGATGGGAGCACAGGGCCATGGAGCGCATGGCGGATGCACGTCAGTGCACCGGGAACCCCTCACCTGGACTCCCTGGGCTGCTGCCCGCCGCTGCGCCGCCGCCTGGACATGCGGCGCTATGGTAAGGATCTTGGCGCCGCTGGCGCGGATGGCGCGGACCGCCGCCTCCTGCTCCAGGGCCAAAGCATTGTGCACCATCACGACATAGGTCTGGGGCAGCTGTGTGTGTGTGTGTGTGATGTGAGGGGGAAGGGGGTGTGGGGTCTGCCGGGCAGCTGCCTGCCATGCCAGCAGGGGGGAGGAGATGATGGCCAGGCGAGGGCCGAGGGCAGAGAAAGGGTTGGCAGATGCCCACTGGAAGGGCCTCAGTAGTGGCACCATTGCCAGGCCCTCAAATCAAGGAGGTCGATGGGGCACACAGTCCGCACCACCCATGCCTCCCCCGTCGCTCCCCACATGACCACCGTCCTCATGACAAGCCCTGATGCCTCCCACCACCCCCTGGGGCCCCCTCCTCTCCTCGTCAGTGGCTCGCCTGGAGCGAGGCCAGGGCATGGAGCAAGCCCACATGGCAGGTGGGGAAGGTGATGAGCAACACGCAGTCGAAGTCGTGAAAGGCGGCGAAGAAGGCCTCATAACGCCGGAAGCCCTTCCAGAGGAAGGGGCGGACCACCTCCTCCATCCCCAGCGCGGTGGCCTTTGTGAAGACGGTGACGTTGTGTCGCAGCTTGAGGAGGTGGTACCCCACCGCCGCCACAACCTCCTCGTGGTAGCTCACCATGTTGACGATGGCTGTGCGTGGGCGGCGGCTCAAGGGGTCGCCCAGCTCCTCTTCGAGGCCTCCCTCCACTGCCGCCTGTGGCACGGTGGGATCGTGGATGGCTGCATGCCCAGAAACGAAGATCATTGTGCTGGGCGGGGGAGCCGAGCTCCCTCGTGACCGCGATCGTGTGGCGCAAAGGCATCGTGTGATGGGGGGGTGTGAGTCGGGAACTGCACAGCAAACAGCCTCACGCACGTCCCGATCATGGGTGCAAGTCGTGGGCAGGGTCTCCTGGCAGGAGTCCACCGCGAGGACTCCGGCAATGGGACACCGCGCAGCATTCACACATATCACGGTACCACTCAGCTTCCCACTCGCCGTGTACGTGTCTGGCATGGATGCTATGAGCTCCGGGATCTTGTCCGGGCAGCCAGGCTCGATGGGGACCACGGGCCCGAGCATGGCCGGGAGACTGAACAGGGAAGAAGCAGTCCGGCCCGGCGATCCGTACAGGTAGATCGACAGGATCATGAGCCCTGCCGTGCAAAGCACCATACATTTCATCAGCGTGAACATGGCTCTGCAAGGCCTGACATGAATGCCATCCCTGCCACCGGCCCCATGCCTGGAGGGCCGGAGCGGGGAGGCCGGGGAGACCTTTTGCATTGTACAGGCGCCCGAGGTATCTATCCCGTCACACAAATGGACTCCATCCCATGGTTGATCAGGATGGCATGGCATGCGGGCATGTCGATTTGCGACCCATGGCATCTGTTCCGAAAGGATTCGAATGTTGACGCGCCCAAATCACTGCGATGGTGTGTGCTTCTCAAAGTGATCCGCAGAGCAAAGAATTACATACAGGGAGGAAGGGGGGGGAAGATTGGGTACGTGCAAGGATCTTTCTATATATTGCGTCATGGTATTGGCATTGGCAGGGCGTGTAGGCCCTCGCTGGAGGGTTCCCCATCATCAGAGGCACCTCCAGCTGACACATCCGGAGCAGGCTGCGTGCAGGCACCAGGCATGCATGCGCCTCAAGGTAAAGGTGAAGGCGACAGGGGGTGGGGTGAAAGTTGAGTGCGCAGGCGGGCTGGACCCTCCGGGCTCAGACCCAGGGCAGCGTCAGCTGGGGCGAGACGGCGCCCTGCTTGCTCAGGGCAAAGGCCACGATGGTGACGATCTGGGGCGCGGTGTAAGCGTCCAACGCCAGGCTCCAGTCGTAGGGGTCGCCGGTGGGGGTCACGTCAAAAGTGGTGACCACGCCGCCGTTGGGCGCCAGGGCCGCGATGCGGTATGCCCAGGGCGTGTAGCCGGCGGTGAACTTGAAGCCGTAGCCCCAGCGCTTGGGGAGGTAGGTCACGGTGCCGACGAAGGCCGGCAGCGGCGGCAGCGGGGGGGAGGGATTTGGGGGGACGGGCGGGCTGTTGAGCATGACCAGGGGAAACACCTCCACGGCGTGCCCGTCCCAGTCGAAGGAGGAGACCGTGGCGGAGTGCAGGCGCGCCGCCTGGCCGACGTGCATGTCGGTGATGTTCAGCGTGGTCTCGTTGGTGTGCAGGGGTCCGACGACCACATGCGCCAGCTCCTCGTACTCGGCAGAGTACAGGATGCACTTCACCAGCCTGGCCACATAGCCGTGGGTGGTCACGGCGACTGTCATGCCAACCCTGTCGTTGGACACCAACCCGATGGTCAGGTTGCCGGTTAGGGTGTAGCCGGGTGGGGGTGGTGGGCTTGGTGGTGGGCTGGGGGGCGGGCGGGGGGCTGGGGGGTGGGTTGGGTGGGGGTGGAGAGGGTGGTGGGGTAGGAGGGGGAGAAGGAGGGGGGCAAGGTGGGGGACTGGGTGGTGGTGGGGAGGGGGGTGGGCTTGGGGGTGGGCTCGGGGGTGGGCTGGGTGGGCTTGGGGGTGGTGGGCTTGGCGGACTTGGGGGTGGGGGTGGAGGAGGCGATTTTTCTCCAGTGCGTGGGAGGTAAGGGTGACTCACTGGGTGGTGGAGGCGGCAATGTGATGGGTGAAGGTGGCGACTGGGTGGACGGAGGGGGGGGCGACACTGCAGTCGGAGGAGGAGGCGACTGCATGCGCGGAGGGGGAGGCGGCGGCTGCTTCTTGGGGGAAGGCGGCGGCTGCTTCTTGGGAGACGGCGGCGGCTGCTTCTTGGGGGAAGGCGGCGGCTGCTTCTTGGGGGAAGGCGGCGGCTGCTTCTTGGGAGACGGCGGCGGCTGCTTCTTGGGGGATGGTGGCGGCTGCTTCTTGGGGGAAGGCGGCGGCTGCTTCTTGGGGGAGGGCGGTTGCTTCTTCACGGATGGGGGTGGCATCCTCTTGGCTGGAGGTGGTGAGGCCTTCTTGGGCGATGGGGGGGTGGCCTTTGTCAGCCTCACAGCTTGCTCTTGCCCGCTTGCGGCTTGCAGCAGCCGCCTGCTGAAGGGAGCTGCCTCCCTGACCCTGGCCAAGGCATGCTGGGTGATGGACCGATGGGTGGCCACCTCCGCAGGCACGCTGCTATGCGCCACATGACTGCAGCGCATGTTGTCGCCGACGCAGCTGTCTCCCCAGTTGGCTGAGCCCTGGTTGGAGTTTCCTGCACCATGGAGTGTGAGATGTTTTGTTGATAGCCGGTCCCTGATGGAAGGGATGGACAAGGTACCACTCAGTGCTGTGCTTTGCCAGTGAAACGTCCTCGCCCTCTCACCAATGTTATCGTCTCCCTGGTTGTTGCGGCCAAAGTTGCGCCTGCCCTGATTTCCAGCGCCGATGTTGCCGTCCTCGTCAGCCACACACGCCGACTGTCCAGCTGACAGGCACTCCACTGCCACCAGGACCTCGGCATCGGGAGACGAGTCCACCTCCAGCAAGCCGAGCCGCACCACGCCGACCGACAGGCCGGTGGCGGTCAGGGAGGAGGTGCGAACAGATCCGGCGCCAATGAATCCCTCCAGCCTGTTGATGGGACGGTGGGGGGGGCGTTGGGGGCCGTAGAGCTCATGGTGAATGAATTCTATGCACAATGAGCAGCTCATGACCTTTTGGACCCCTTGTGCAACTCCAGAGCAGCGGCTAGGCATCCCTTCCCTGCGCTGCATCCCGGCTATCACACCTGCAGAAGCTATCGGCGCTGTCTGCTGTCAAGAGGCATGCACCATGTCTCACACTGCAGGGGGGTGGTGAAGAATCCGAGTGAGCAACGATACTGACAGACAATATCCCTGCTGACCACACACACAGTGCACCGTTCACGAGAGATTCGCAAGTAACATGCAAAATCACTCGATCTGAGGAGATATATGGTGGGATGCAATCCCACAGGGTAGCTGCAGAGGAGTCAACAGACCACCTAACCCAAAACTCACATAGTACTGGGGAAGGAGACGAAGGTCGAGGAGCAGGTAGCCTGGGCGGAGACATGGGCAGCGAATTTAGGCACTGCAGATATTATAGGACCTCGTACCACCCATGATCTCCTCAACACTCACCGCCAAGGCCCCTTCACTCCACAAGAGCGCAAGTGTGGCGGCCAGCACCAAGTGGCCAACAGCCTTCGGCACCTTCCGGGAAGTCATCGCCCTGTGCGATTCCAGGGCGAGCATGCACCCAGATTCGTGATAAATTGGGATTCCAAGAAGGGGATTGATGTGTTCGCTCCTTTGATAAACCTTGGTACGCGTTTATAAAGAGCTTGATGCACGTTCTGCCTGGTCGCGGTGCGGCATCCGGAGCACTGGTCCGGTGGACGCGTGGGTGGCAGAGGCTGACCCGGACCTGTGTTAATCTTGAAACGTGCGATGGCCGGACAGTCCCGGCCACTGGAATCTGAAAGTTCTGCTCGCGCAAGACTCCAGTGAACATTCTTTGAAGAGATTGTCGTGCTCGAGGTGGTGTCTCTCAAGAGCGAATGCCCGTCCTGGCACCCGCGGGCGGGCAACCACCCAGCATGCCGGCGGTCCAGGGTACCTTCTTAGAAGGTGCCCACCGGCACTTACACGTCCTCGCAGTACACAGCTGGAGGCGTACTGACACTTGAATGCTCCTCACCTCATGTACCATCTGGAATGTTACAGGATTTTAGAAAGCGTTCTCGGGATATGGATGCATCGCGAAGTTTCCGATGGCAATCTTTAACTCAAGCTTGGACGCCACGCAAACACAGGTGGGATTGACCCGAACATATACTTTGGGGTACAGACAGACACAGAAATGAATCTACGGTCTGAGCCGACGTGCTTGAGGGCCATGTGAACTAATTTCATCCTAAATCCGACACGGCCCGAGTGACCTCAAGCAGCTCGCTTTCACTGCGGGCAGAGTGTCAATGCATTGCATGACATACAGGCATGCATGGCTGCTGAAGAATATTCGCCAGGTATCTCTGGCAAGGCGAAGCTTGCGCTTTCATGGTGGTCGCGCATCCAGTGGAGAAACATGATGCTGCAGATCAGTGCGAAGCACACCTGCAATGCCAGTGCCGTGTTTCTGACAAGTCCATTCAATAGACAGCCATTCCCGTAACTCAGATCCTGAGCTTAGGCTGAGCCGACAGAGGAGTAGTTGAGCTAAGGCTGATGCTTGGGAGCGCAGTGCCATCGGAGTCGCTCAGGCACGGCGGTCGGCCACAATGATTGCATGGTAGCCCAGGATCCTTCGCATCATTTGCCCACAGGTGTCCAGACCGGGACACTGCTAAACCATGTTTGCCCCTGTGAGCAACTGAATGATGGCAGGGTAACACATTATGACCTTACGTAGACCGGACATGGAAGAGAGCAACGGTCTGCCACTTATTGTCTGTCTGGATGTCGTTGGAAGAACCTGGCATGGTCCTCCAATACATCATGCACCTGCGACCTTGGGCAACAGTGGCAAAATTCAGCAGCTCGACATCCGCAAGTGGCTGCCTCCACGCTCTGTAGCGCTGTCTTGCTGGGAGAGGCATGTATGAATCGGTGCCTGTCGTCCTATTGAATTCTGAAAGCTGTCTATAGAGCGATGCAGCAACATAATCATATTTTGTCCTTCCAATGTCCTCGACCTCCATTGCTGTGGTGCCAACATAAGATTATGACTTGCGTCTTCTTAGTCAAAACGGTGTAAATTGCCCCCAAGGCTGTGTAGGCTGCATCGCAGATATAAAATGGGGTCTAATCAGGTTCCTCAACATCACAGAAAGTTTCGTAGCTAAGCCGATAGCTTTGGCTTAACTGACACCCAGAGGGATGAGAGCATTGCAGCGCTCTCAGTATTCGCTGCTAGATACCGTGTATCCGCATGCGCTGGCCGCGATGAAGGTCAACACCAATTGTCTGTCGTCTCATAATGAAGCAGCATCTTTCACAACCCCAGGAGCAGACACCACGTATCAGACTGCTTAAAGAGAAAGTCAACTCTTCCCCAGGTCGTTGACTAAATCCATTCATTGGCTTTCTGAAAATTCTGTACAGGCTCATGCAGCCTGGTTGCTTCTTTCCAAGCTCACCATAAAATACTTCCTGGCGCAATCCACGCTCTTCATGAGCCTAAATGATTCGTAACAAGGCCCAGACTTCTCTCCTGTGGTGGTGATTGTCGTTCATTCTGGATTCAAAGCTGTTCTTCAGGGCTTATCTTTCATGCTGAACGGATGGCTCTCCATTGCGCCCATTGCCACTCTGTGGGTAGGGGGCCGGGCTTTCCTCGTCGCAAGGCGCAAAGCACGGGTTAGGTGCGAAGCTCGCGCCCGGACAGTGGTAGGCGCCGAGTGGGACCATTTGGCACGCAGCTTGCATATTAACTTACTCGAGTATACTCGTGGGATGCATTAAATCGCACTACTTCCAGCTCGCGGGACCAGCGCATGTGGTCATGACGGAACTGAACCCCGGCTTCACCTTCGATTTGGGCCCAGGATCTGTCGAGGTCCAAGCTCCTTGGGAATTTAGCGGTGAGGTGTACGTTGGAAGCAGCCGCTGCGCCCTGTCACACTCTAGGCTGTCCCAATCTCCTCCATCCAGTCTCGGGTAGCCATTGGCAGTGCACGACTGCCTTGGCCGGCATCATCAGCTCCACCATGCTCCTTCGGCCCCTTCCTTCACCCAGGGGCCCTTGTGGATGCGGAGAAGCCAGCGTCCCATGCAACGACCATCGACCAGAAGATCAGGAAGCGGGTGGGGGAGGTGAGGGGCAGCGGTCGCCAGCCGGGCCGAGTGGCTGCCATCGACAGCGAGCAGGAGTCCTCCAGCGACAGCGACAGCGCATCAGACGATGAGGGTGCCAGCGACAGCGACGCCCCGCTCCCGGGGGAGGAGGACGGCAGCGATGGGTCCGAGGAGGAGGAGGGCGTCGCCGATGACTCGGACGATGCCGAGGTAAACACCGACACCGAGGACGACGAAGGCGAGGGGCCAAGCGGCGAAGATGCCGAGTCTCAGGAGTCTGACGAGGGTGCGGAGGGGCCTCGACAACCCAAGGGAACTGCGTCAGACCCTCCCGCCCGACCAAGCAAGCGGCCTGCGGAGGAGGCAGGCGCAGCGGGGCCGGCCAAGAGGCAGGTCGGACCAGTGCCGCGCGGCAAGGCCGGGGGCTTCTACGCAGCGACGCCAGAGGGCACCACCTTTGCAGCCAAGGTGGGTGGGTTGGATCATTGCGCGAGGGTGTGTGCTGTTGGAGCGCACCGTGAGCCCTGGGTTTCTGCCCATGGCAAAGAGGTGTTCGGGGCTTGGAATTCCAGCACAAGTCCAGCCAGCTCATTTCCAATAACCCCTCTGCTGAATTCCTCCTACAGACATTCGCGGAGCTGAACCTGTCCAAGCCCCTTGTGAAGGCTTGCCAGGCGCTGGGCTACACCCACCCCACCCCCATCCAGGTAGATGGCGCCGGGAGGAGGGGGCTCATGCCATGCCGACCCCGCCCGTGCCGCCGTGGAAGTTCAACTCCCCTGTCTAGCCCCCTAGACATTGTTAAACGTGCATGTCCCTCCCCCCCTCTCCCTCCGTCCCCCACCCAGGCGGCGTGCATCCCGCTGGCCCTGACGGGGCGTGACATCAGCGGCAGCGCGGTCACCGGGTCCGGCAAGACGGCGGCCTTCATGTTGCCCCTGCTGGAGCGCCTGCTGCATCGAAGCCGCCGCCTGGCCGCCATGTACGTCCTGGTGCTGACTCCGGTGCGAGAGCTGGCGGTGCAGATCCACTCCATGACGCAGAAGCTGGCGCAGTTCACCGACATTCGCGCCGCGCTGGTGGTGGGGGGGCTGTCGCTCCAGGCTCAGGCCGCCAGCCTGAGGACCAGCCCCGAGATTGTGGTGGGGACGCCGGTGAGTTAGGGAGGTTTCAGGGTTGACAAGGAGGGCATCGAGAGGAGATGACGGGGAAGGGAGGAGAACGTGGGGTGTCCACCGTGGAGGTGCAGGGTGGGTTCTGCCCTGTGCTCGCCCTGGAATGCTCCCCATGGGTTCTGAAGTGGAAACAGGGGAAGCCAAAGCCCGATCCGGCCAGCACCCCATGCCCATCACTTCGCGCCGCTGGTCCCAGGGCCGGGTGATCGACCACGTGCGGAACACCCAGTCCGTGGGCCTGGAGGACCTCCAGGCGCTGATTCTGGATGAGGCCGACCGCCTGCTGGAGATGGGGTTTGCCGATGAGGTGAGGCCCAAGCCTGTGCTGCACGAGCAACGTTTGCGTGTCATTCTGCATTGTTGAGGAAGTGAGGTAGCGCCTGGCCCTGTGTCAGAGCCGGGATTGTGTTGGGAAGCTGTCGCGCAGGCAACGCACAACCCTCCCCCAAACACACCTCCGCCGTAGATCAAGGAGATCGTGAGGCTGGCGCCCCGGAAACGCCAGACCATGCTCTTCTCGGGTGAGGGGCAAAGGTACTTTGAAAGTGGGATTGGATGTGTGGTATCGAAGAAGGGAAAGGTCCTAGGCCTAGGTCCGGCCCCTGTCAAGCACGTTGCCGGAGAGATCAGGAGCCAATTCACCACCTCTCACCCCCCCGCCCCCACTTTACTCGACCCACACTTCCCAGCCACCATGACGGAGGAGGTGAAGAAGCTGGTGGCGGTGTCCCTGAACCGCCCTGTGCGCCTGGCCGCCGATGCCACGGCAGCCGCGCCCAAGGAGTTGACGCAGGAGATCCTGCGGCTCAAGGGCGCCGAGGTGGGCTGTGGGTGTGATCAGAGGGAGGAGCCCTGCAGGGGGTGTCACTGCTGTAACGTGGATGCATGCACTTGTATCGGGTGCTCGCACACTGCATCCTCCCCTCCATCCACCCGCCTGAATCCCAACTTGCCGAGCTTCCACCTCCCCAAATCATCCCCATCCCACCCTCCCGCCTATCCCCTCAAACCAGGCGAGCCAGAAGGAGGCAGTGCTGCTCGCGCTGTGCTCGCGCACCTTTGCCTCGGGGCGCACCATCGTCTTCTTCTCCACGAAGCAGCGCGCACACCGCATGAAGATCCTGTTTGGCCTGGGCGGGCTGGCCTCCGCCGCCGAGCTGCACGGTGACATGACCCAGGCGGCGCGCCTGCAGAGCCTGGAGGCCTTTCGCCGTGGCGAGGCCGCTTTCCTGCTGGCCACCGACGTCGCCTCGCGCGGGCTGGACATCCTCGGCGTGGAGACCGTGATCAACTTTGACGCGCCCAAGCAGCTCCCCGCCTACCTGCACAGGTGCTGGGAAGCAGGAAATCGTTGGATTTGCGTGTTTGAGTTAGGGGGGGTGGCAGGCAAGTGCGTGTTGGTGGAGGGCTGCCTGGTCTACGAGGCTTGGATGACATGTACAGTGCCCTTCCTCTGGAGCACTTTACATCCCTTGGTCATCCTTGCGTGATCAGTACAGCGCTGTCATGCCGCCACACAACCTGCTCTCCATTCGCAAACACACGATGCATCCATTCCAACCTCCTCACACAACCTCCATAATCCAGGGTGGGGCGCACCGCGCGGGCGGGGGCGCTGGGGCGGTCGGTGACCTTTGTGGAGGACGAGGACCGCGCGCTGCTCAAGGCCGTGGTGAAGGGCACGGGGGTGCAGCTGCAGCAGCGCCAGGTGCCGGCCGTCGCCGTGGCGGCCTGGCAGGACCGCGTGGAGCGCATGAGCGACGACGTGCGCTCCGTCATCTTCGAGGAGCGCGACGAGCGGCACCTGCGCCGGGCGGAGATGGAGACGCAGAAGGTGAGGGGGTGGGGGGTGGGGGGGGCAGGGAGGGTTGGGGACTCTCAGGGGGAGAAACGCGCATGCTGAATTGAAGAAAGTTGGGCAAGCATCTCTGTGGTGCGCTGGCGAGCGGGCGATGCACCTGGCCACCCTTTCCCCCCCCGATGTGCCGGTCCTTTGACCCTGGGCTCTTGCACGCCACACGTCACCCCTGGGCCTGCAGGCTGCCAACCTGATCGAGCACGAGTCCGAGATCTTCTCGCGCCCAGCGCGCACCTGGTTCCAGTCGGAAAAGGAGAAGCGGTCGGCGGCGGAGGCGGCGCGGGTGGCGGACACGCCGCTGACCGGCAAGCAGCAGAAGAACCGCGACAAGTACCAGAAGAAGGTGGACATGAAGGCGCGCGCGGCGGCGGAGGCGGCGGAGCGCAAGCAGGGTAACCGATTGATGGAAGAGACGGAGGGCCTGAGCCGGACCATCCGCGCCATCAAGTCCAGGGAGAAGACCCTGCGCATGACCGGCATTGGCGGGGCCAAGACGGGGAAGATGGCGGCCGGCATGGTGACCGGGGTCAAGAAGAAGCAGGGCAAGAAGAAGGTGAGAGGGGACTCGGGTGGACGGAGGGGAAAGGGTGAGGGGGCTTCATTGTCCATGGGTATACTCGGTGGCATGTGGTGGCGGGGTGGCCAAGAAGTTGGTGCTCCTTGGTGCCAATTGTTACCGGCCAACAGGAAGCTCTGATCGCCTCAGCACTAGCGCTCCGTTATAACCCGCACGCAGAGCAAGGATGAGCTCTTCAATGGCGATGGCATTGACAACAATGGCCCAGCACCGACGGGGAAGACCCAGGTGTACGCAGGGGGTGCCCGTAGTAGCAAGGCCGCCGTGAGTTGGCTGAGAGTCTGTTACATTCTGGGAGACTGCGCGCTGATGCTGCATGCATGGGCTGTGCGGCGTCCCTTCCAATGTTCTGAGAGATACTGGCTTTTGCGGATGGACTGCTGAAAAGCCCTGGATGTTTGAAGGGGAATGCTCCAACGACGCATTCTCCCTACCCTGTTTCTGGTTCCCTCACCTCCTCGACCACCCCAACCCTGCACCCAGACCGGCAAGCCGTCCAACAAGCTCTCTAAGGCCGAGCTGGCACGGCAAAAACGTGGTGGGAAGGGGCGCCACGTCTTCAAGAGCAAGGCCAAGCACAGGAGACGCTGAAGAGGGTGGGTTGCATGCTGGTGTGGATGCGGCATGCCATGAAAACCGCTTCAACCGTGTATACTTTGCCTCTTGCATTCAACGATCCGCTGAGTAAGACCTGGATTGCTTCAGCAACGTGAGTGAGTATGTGGGTGAAACAGACATGACGGGTCAAAAGTCCATGCAACATTGAGCAAGCACGCCTGTGTCTGAGCGCTGCGGTGCTGCAGGGCACCACAGCAGGCACAGGGTGTGCATTTTTGTATACTTTGTTTCATGGCCAGCGACCTCCCCTGCTCTCCTGGCAAGGGGTGCTGAGCGAGGCTCCGGGACTGGGGCCCTTCCTATCAATGCTGGGACCTGTCCCTCCCTCTGCACACAGGCCCTTACAGGCCCGCCCCTCACGCGCCGTCTTTGAAAAGCTCCCGTCCGATGAGCATGCGCCGGATCTCGGAGGTCCCCGCCCCGATCTCGTACAGCTTGGCGTCCCGCAGCAGGCGCCCCGTGGGATACTCATTCACATACCCGTTCCCGCCCAGGATCTGGATGCCATCCAGCGCCATACGCGTGGCCGCCTCCGCGGCATACAGGATCACCGCCGCACAGTCCTTGCGGCTGACGTGTCCCGCGTCCGCGGCGGCCGCCGTGGCGTAGATGAAGGCGCGGGTGGCACGGGAGGTGGCGTACATGTCTGCCAGCTTGCCTTGGATCAGCTGTGGGTGCGCGTGTGAGGGGGAGAGGTGGGGGTTGGACGGAGGCCCAAGGCAGGACCGAGCCCTGCTGCACCATGCCCGTCGAGTCCTGCACCGAGCGATCCCTGGCCGACGCGCAGACCTGAGATTCAGGCCTAGATGCCCGAGGCCAGCATCCACAAGTCACTCTAGCTGCTCTGCCCACACCCCACACCTGGAACTCCCCGATGGCCTTTCCAAACTGCTTCCTTTCGCGGACGTAGGGCAGGACGGTGTCCATACATGCCTGGGAAGGGGTGGGAAGGCAAGCGGCTGATGTCACTCCACATGACGATCCGAGGTGCAGGGTCCCTCCAACCTCCAAAGCATTGCCAGGCCTGCACAGGCATCCAGTCCTCCCTCGGGCCCCCCGCATCCCCGTGTGCGTGCAGCAACCAAAGCCACACCATGCTTGCCCTGCCTGCATGAGTCCCAGGGGTCCGGCAGAAAGAACCAGGCGCTCCAGATCCAGCCCGCTCATCAGCACGTACACGCCCTGGGTGATGATGGTCGGTGTTGGGAGGGATCGTTGATGGAAGGGAGGAAAGGACGGCGGCGGGCTCGTGCGGGTACGCATCCTCCGATTGGTCGGCAACCAGCCTCGATCCCCTCCTCCACACCCCAAGGTGCAGGGCCCCTCTGCATCCAAACCATCCCACTCGCTCACCTTGTTCACCTCCCCCATCACGTTCTCGGCAGGCACCCGGCAATTCTCAAACAGGAGCTCGCAGGTGTCCGACCCGCGCATGCCCAGCTTGTCCAGCTTCTGCGCGGTGGTGAAGCCGGGCATGCCACGCTCCACGATGAAGGCAGTGATGCCCTGGGGCCCCGCCTCGGCGTCGGTCTTGGCGTACACGATGAGCGTGGAGGCGGAGGGGCCGTTGGTGATCCACATCTTGGAGCCGTTGAGCAAGAAGGCGCCGTCGGGCTGGCGGTCGGCGCGCAGGCGCATGGACACCACATCCGACCCCGCCCCGGGCTCCGACATCGCCAGCGAGCCGATGGCGTCGCCGGCGATGAGATCGGGCAGATACCGCGCCTTCTGGGCGGGGGAGGCGTTGCGCACCAGCTGGTTGATGCACAGGTTGCTGTGCGCACCGTAGGACAGCGCCACCGCGCCTGGACGGCGGAGGGAAACGGGTGGAGGGAGGTGGGGGGCTGGGATTTTGTGTCCCTCATGCCAGGCAGGGTGGGGGGAGGGATGAGTCATGATTCGTTCGGGCCATGTCCCCAAGTCACATGCAGGCCGTGAGTGAGCCAGACCGCCATCCTTGAGAGCCCCTGGCCCCTCACGCCTGCACCTCAGGCACTACACCCTGCCTCCGCCCTTGTCACACGAGCGGGCGGGCTCCAGCTCACCAGAGGCGCGGCTCAGCTCCTCCATGGCTATGCAGTGGTACAGATACCCCAGCCCCAGCCCGCCATCCTCCACGGGCACCGTGATTCCTGTATCAACAAGGCCATGTGATTGGCGTCATCGAGACACCAGCCCATGCGGTGTACAATCATCCCTCTCACCCAGATGCCACCCTGCCTCATCAATTGTCCGAGCATAGTGCATGACTTTCAAAAGACTTCAAACACCCTGCCCCCGACCCACCATGCAGGCCCATGTCGCCCATCGCTTTCCACAGGTTCACGCCCTTGGGGAATGAGTTGCTAGCATCGATCTCGGCTGCATGAGGGGCGATCACCTCCTGTGCGAAGCTCCGCACCGATTCCCTGAACTCTATGGCGTCCTGGGTGTCCCCCGGAGCGCTGCTCTGCACCGCAGCCTCGGTGAAGGAGCGGGGCGCGGCCCAACAGGTCCCGGCAGCCACACGGCCCTGCCGGCAGGCGCGCTGCAGGGCCCAAGAAGCCTGGCGCAGCATTTAATATGGTCGAAGAGGTTTTGTAGTCGAATATTGATGCCCTTGATTCCCCATTTCAAGCCATCTCTCGAAGAGACGCTGCCCAACATGCCGCGCGGCTGACGCGGCACGACATCTCGGACCGACACATCGAAACATTTCGGGTTTCATCCGCCAGCACTGTTAGTATTGATGGTAAAGTCTCACGTGCAGCGAGTACGTCGCGATCAACTTACAGTAATTACAAGGAATCTGAAAGGCAGGGGTTATTTCCCAAGCCCTTATTCAGGGAGAGATGTTAGAATGTGGATGAAAGCATGCCCAAAGCATCAGGCCGCCAGGCTCTGCATGATACTGGAGAAGCCTCAGCCTATCAGCAGGTGGTGGAGCCTCTTGCTGCCCAGGAACTTTGCCTGTGACCTTCCTGGCTGGGACATCGGCATAGCACTGGGGCCCATGAACAGCGCGGGGGCCTCCCCCTTGGGGTAGATGCTGTTGTAGTGCACCTCCGCCCAGAAGCTGAGCCACAGCACGCGCGAGCTCCTCAAAACCCCCCGCGGCGCGATCTCAAGAAAGGCGGTGTCCGGGAAGGAAGTGACCAGTGCGATGCGCAGGCCCAGGCAGTCGGCGGCGGCCTGCAGGGTCACATGGTCGCCCCAGGCCTGGGGCTGGGCCATGTCATCGCAGTACCCGCGGTACTCCTGCGGCACATACTCCTGGTACATCCCCGGCTGGCGGCGCAGCTGGGCTACCACCGACTCCCGCACCAGCGCATGCGCATCCTGGGACCTGTCGGTGGAGTGGAGGATGAGGGAGACTGGGGGCGTGGGAGGCGACATGACGGCATCCCTTGGGTTTTGCAACCAGAAAGGTTGCTGCCTGCGGAGGACAAAGAGCCGGCCCAGGCTGCCCGCAGGCACGTCACCAAGACCCCCTCAATCCCACCCATCGCCTTCAGCTCACCCGTACAACTGGTCTGCGAGGGCCCTGAACTGGCAGGCGCCGTCGCCCACCACAGGGCGCTCAGAGAGGCCAAACAGGTCGAGGCGGAGCTGCAGCCTGTGCCTCCCAGCAGAGGTGGGGTCGAGGGGCTGCCTGCCCTGGCCGGGCTGGTAGCTGTTGATTTGGGGAACGAGCTGCAGGGGGCACGGGTGAAGGGGCAAGTCAGCTCAGCAGTAGCGACAGCGTCACTTGCCCAAGCACTGTGCAAGAGGAATGTGTGAGTCAGTCGATTAAGACAACCTTGTCCCCAGTCACTGCTGCAGGGGGGGTGCACACTGGGCAGACACCTTGAGCCCATCGTCTGCCCACATGTAGGCACCCCAGGCCCTCCACCAACCTTGGCAACCGAGGGTGCTCTCAGCGCCTCCATCCCGGCCGGGAGGGACTTTTGCAGGAGCTCGCCTGGGGTATGCCGGGGTGTCGTGCTGTGAGCATCAGACCTCCACGGAACCGGCCTCAACAAGCCCCCCTTACGCGGTCACCCACCTTGAATCCAACCGTACGCAGCGTGCATCTCCTCGAGCGGCCGCGTAGGTCTCGGGTTGGGAGTACTAGACATGTTCTCGAATGTCGACGCCCCCGGGGGACAGTGCTCAAAATGTGATATGGGTCGGAGATGTCAGTGAGCCTCGTGGTACTCCAGAACCATGTGAGAATTTGAGACGGTTTTGAGAGGTACCCATATCCCTGGACACATGTATATGAACTAAAGCGGAGTCGTCTGAGGAGCATGGACTCATCGCCGCATATACGGGTTCCGCGTTCACACTTACGTAAGTTTTTGTCTTCCACTGGGTGTTTGCCCGGCCCTGCTGGTCCCATCATTCACGATGATTGGAAGCCAGTTCCGAAGGCATCTCTGCCTATAACAGTACAAGGTGCACTGATCAATGGTGATGGTGAACAGTGGCACATAATGCGGCATGCCAGCAGGCCTGCACGGGCCCCCTGCATCTCCCGTCCTCAGTCCTCCATCGCCCTCTGGTTGGCACGCAGCACAGCTCCAGGGCTGGGGTAGGGCCTGGACTGGAAGAGCGGGCCTCCGGCCGTGGTGTCTGCAGCCCGCGGCTGAGCGCCCTCCAGCCCACTCGACCAGCCCCCCCGCGGAGCATCCGAGTAGGAGGACTGTGTGCGGCAGGATGGTGTGTGCCGTTCAAGGATGTGGCCCGTCGCCGATAAAAGCACAGCCAGGCCTGCCTAAAAAGGCGCAGACCAGACTGCGTGCATGACTCTCCTCAACACCGCCCCGGCTCCACCTGAACACCTCCCCGCCGCTCACCGGATCCATTGGGTCGAGGGCTTCGCGCTTCGGGCCGCGATCGCGGCCCGAAGCGCGAGCGCCGCTCCCCCTGCCAGCTCCAGGCTGCCCTCCTCCCTCGGCAGGCGGGACGCCCCTCGAAGCCTGGCCAGGCGCCTGCGCACACCCTTGCCCTGGCATGAGGGTGCGTTGAGACATGTTGTGCAGGGCATTGATTCTCCTCTGCAGTGGTCCCGGCTGCTTCGCACAGCAGGAAGCCCATCCAACGCACGCCCAGTCCTCACCGAGGGCATGCGCCGGGGCGGGGGCGTCGGCATAGTACCCGAGGCCCATCGGCCCAAGCTTGAAGACGGCCCCCGGCCTGGCACCTGCAAACGCCTCCGCGGGCTGGAATGCGGGGGCGGCCTGCGCTGCGGGGCCTGCCTGTACTGCAGGGCCCGCCTGTACTGCAGGGCCCGCCTGTACTGCAGGGCCCGCCTGTACTGCAGGGCCCGCCTGTACCGTTGTGCCTGCCTGAGCACCGGGGCCCGCCTGAGCCGCCGGCACCTGCTGCGGGCCTGCGCCGGTGCTCGCCTGTGCCACTGCTCCCGCCGTGCCCGGGTGCTCCCACTGCGTTAGCCCCGCCGCAGCATTGAAGTAGTACACCTTTCCGGAGGTGGGGTCGCGCGCCTCCTCCCACCCCGGCGGCAGCCGGGGCCGGACCGCCGGCCTCTCCCAGCTGCGCTCCCCCGTGCCCAGGTTGTAGTAGTAGACGGTGTTGTAAGTGGCGTCCACGGCGCTGTACCAGCCCGGCGGCAGGCTCGACACCGGCCCGCCGCCCGGCGCGGCCCCTGCTGCACCTGCGGCGGCGGCAGGCGCGGTGCTGCTCGTGGCGGGGCCCCCTGTGTCATCCTTCCGCTGCACGATGCCGCGGGCCGCCAGCCGAGCGGCCAGCGCAGGGGGGAGAGCGCGGGCGGTCTTGGCCTCCTTGACGGCCTGTAGCACAGCGCTGGGGGGCTGGTAGTGCTGCCAGTCGCCGGCGCCACGCTGGGGAGCCTCTGGCTCTGGAGCGACTGACCCTGCCGACTTCTCGAGCGCTGCTGCTGCCTGCATCACGGCCGTCCTGTAATCGGCCTCCGTCTTGGGGACCGGTTGGGACTCGGGCGCGGCGTCGACCTCCCCATGCCCACGCTTGGACCCGGAGAGGACGGCTCGCGTCTCTGCCTCCGTCTCCCTCAGTGCAGCGTGCTGGGCCTGGCTGTCATCGTCCAGGGCTACAACCACGGCGGAACCTGATTTTATTATGTAATGTTGAGCAGGTCGATTCATATGCGTTGTGCAGATAGTACAATTACCGGCCTTGCTTGCCACTTGACCCACCCGGTGCTGTGAAGGCCCCCGAAGTCATCCATGCAGGCATGACCAGCGATCGCCCCCTTCCAGCCATCCTGCGGATTGATGCTGTCGTATTGCATATATTGCTAGATGGAACTGGACGAACAGGTCTGACCCTCTGAATTAGCGAGGAGCAGATGTGTCGCGCGCGGAAAAGTGCCGTAGCATGCACTTCGACTAGGAGGCGAGACGGACCCAAGCGACCAACACACACTTGCATGCAGAGAGCCGACAATCTTAGGAAGAGAACCTTACTCGCCTTGCACGGGGTCTGGCGGCGGGTATCGGTTCAGTTGATGGTGGGGCAAGTCCCCTCTTCCGGAAGGGCTCCTATCACAACGCTCTCCCTTTGAGACCGCGCGCGATGGGAAGCAACAGGAAACCCACACCCGCGGCATCCGTGAGTAACTCTGAAGTGATACCGCCAGCTCAAATGCCAGCTGCAGGAGGCCAGCGGGCACGAGAGGGCACAGCTAAACCGCACCAGCCGTCCAACTCGAGTGAGAAGAAGCGAAAACGCCAGGGGACGAGAGGGGAGCCAGCTGCTGCCCCTGCACCCTTGCACGCAAAGGCAATAGATGGAGACAGCAACGAGATAGACGACCTCTTTGGGAAGCTCAAGTCCAAGCAGAGTGCCCATCCCAAGGTGTGACGAGGAACTGCTTTGTGCCGACGGCTGCCCATGGCAGGCGACTCACAATGTGCAAGTGTCAGTGAGTTGGAAGCGTGTAGAACATTGCTACTGGCTCTATCGAGCCCTGACAGGCGCCATCCCGCAGTCCTACATGCTTTGGCCACAATTCGCAGGGGTCACAGGCGCCCAAGGCGACGGCTGACGCGGCCACTGCACCCCCCACCAGTACTTCCATGCCCAGTGTCACCGTGAAGGGCAGCAAGGATGACCTGTTTGGGACAGAACCTGGTCAGGGAAGGAAGAGGACGGAGGAGGGCTACGCCATGTACACCGAGGAGGAGCTGGGATGGGGAGTGAAGGCCGGGCAGTCCGACTTCTGCCCCTTTGACTGCCAGTGCTGCTTCTGACGCTGGCAGGCCGGCCAGGCGGCAGGGTACCTGGGTGGCCCATGGCGCTCCATCATCATCCCTACTTTCCGCATGGTGACCCACCTCCTTTGCGCACACCGAGTGTTCGATTACACACCATCCCAACTTGCGACTGGAGAGGATTCGATTCCCTCCAAGAGGGGACTCGAGCAACGGCAAATCAGGGGAAGGCCGTGCAAGGCCGGTCTCTCTCAGGCCGTGGAAACAAGGGATCTTCTGGGGACAAAGCATGGTGTGCCTGCACCGTGCAACTGTGTGCCCATTCTGGGTCGGGGCAAAGGAATACAGCATCAATCTCAGTACCTTTTTCGAGATGGGAATAGAACGCTGGAAAAGGGGACTCGGAAGCAGCTGGGAGTGGAGGATCGGGGAGGGGGCGAGCCAGGAGGCGGTCCTTTTGTAATGGGCGCCGGGACGATGGAGGCAGTGGGACGCAGTCAGCCAAAAGCCAGTCCCGCCATCGCCCCAAGGGCTCCAGGCCCGTGCTTGTGCAAACACATGACGTGAGCCTGGGCGCCTGCCAGGCCGTCCCAGTGCTGAGGGGGGGCCAAGCCTGGCTCGCTCCGCCCCCACACACCGCCCCCGTCCCGCGTCGCCGCTCAGCACAGGAAGGGGATGATGAGGTACTGGAGGTAGAACAGCTTCCACACGTCCATGTAGCAGGCAGTGAGGGAGGGGACGGAGGCCAGGTCCACCTGGCGCGCGCGGCGCACGAGCCAGGCCGCGGCCGCCGCCTGGCTGGCGGCGGCCGCGAGGCGCAGGCCGCGCGCGGGGCCCGCCAGCCCCGCCAGCGCCATCGCCCCCGCGCCCGCGTACACGGCCACGAGCAGGCCCACGCAGGCCCATAGCACGCGCCCTGCGCCGATGCGCAACGGCGCGGTGCGCACGCCCGCGGCTGCGTCGCCGCGCATGTCCGGGAGGTCCTTGAAGAGCGCGATGACGATGGCAAAGCCGAGCATGACGGCCGAGGCCGCGAGGATGGGGCGGGTGAGCACCGGCCGCGCCACCCCCGCCCCCGCGCCCCGCATGTGCAGGAAGAAGCCGGCCTGGACCAACACTGCGCGCACGCCCAGGATGGCGGCGGCGGCCAGCACGGGCGTGCGCTTCCAGCGCAGGCCCGGGAGCGGCGCCGAGTAGGCGAAGCCCAGCGCCAGGCTGGCGGCCACCGTGCCCAGCAGCGGCGGCGAGCGCGCGGCCAGGGCCAGGCCCAGCGCCAACGCGCCCGCGGCTGCGGTCACGCCCCGCGCCTGCGCCATGCTCCACTGCCCCGAGGGCAGGGGCAGCCAGGGCTTGTTCACCGCGTCGATTTCCACGTCCGTCAGCTGGTTGTACCCCACGATGGCCACGTTGGCCAGCAGGGAGGGGACCAGGGCGGAGCATAGCGCGCGCAGCGCGCGCGGCGTCACGCCCGCGGGGCCCAGTCCCATGTAGGAGATGGACAGGATGGAGATGATCGTGCCCTGGATGGTGTGGGGGCGGCTGAAGGCGTACAGCGTGCGCAGCCACTGGAGCGGGGACTGGGGGGCGGGGGAGGGGGCGGGGGAGGGGGTGGGGGCGGGGCTCTCCTCGCTCGTGTCGCTGCCGGCCGGGTCGTTCAAGACCAGGGCCTGGGCCCGTGCTTGCCGTGCTGGGTGGCAGGGTTGCAATGAGTATGAGTCCAGGGTCCGACGGGGGGCTGCAGGCAGCAGCCTGCCCGGGTGTCTCCAGCCTGCGGGTGGAGAGGGATGGTGGGGTGGTTTCCCAGGGACCGTTCAATGCACCGGCTGGTCCCGACCCGGGGATGACGCACGCAGCGGGGTTTGGATCGAGTGCAGGGCAGGAAACCTCGGTTCTGATGTACAAGCTTACATTGCGCTGGGGAGAAGCGGGGTAGGGGGGCGGGTCTGCCTCCCAGCCAAGCTTCTCGCGCCGGTGCAGAGCTGGACGGTCGACGCAGAGGAGGCATGCCCCTGAAGTCCAGGGGGTTCTGTTGCCGCGACACACCAGCTGCTGCCTTCATGTTACAAAAAGGGAAAGCGTGTGTTCCCTCGTATCGAGTGCAGGCTGTTTCTGGCCTATGCAACACCGCGATCACAGATCCTCCCTGACTACCGGGCATGCCGTGCGGCCGGTTCGGAAGCTAGGTGTACGTTGTCAAGAATTCCCAGCACCTGATCACCAGCACACATGATTGATCAGGTCAATCATCCAGTGAGTGGAGTTGATGTTGCTTAATGTATCTTATCTGTTGTCCCAAATCCCTGCATAGAGGGCCTTGGGCGTCACATGAGAACAGAACATGCACCCACAATTTGGCCATGAACCTCTCCTGACCTGGGAGTATGACGTCCTGATGGCCACGAAGCATTACAAAGCCCACGGAGGCCTCTGAATCCGTCGAAAATACATTCCTGGGGAGGCCCAAATGGCCAACCTGACAGATTGTGCATTGCCAATATCATCGCATGGCAGAAAGCCACTTGTGGTCAGCCTGAAGATGTCTTGACTTGCTGAGTTGTCATCATTATCATGCAGCCTGGTAATTCAGGCACATCACTGAGCACCATGCTGATCCTTGCGAAATCGTTCTCAATTGCCATGCATCGTTCCGAGCATGTCTCAAAGAAGTTCCACAGAATACAACAAGACAGGAAAGTTATCACTAGATTTGTGTCATCTTTTACCGTAGGTTTGTAAATTTGAGTTTGATCAGGAGTTTGACTGAGCATGTCACAGAACGGTACCTCGTCAGAGAACTGGGTACCGTAGAGCCCCCCGCACACCAATCAGCCAAACGTATATACTGGCATAGCAGGCATCAGACGGCATCTTTGGTGTGCTTGCCCACCGCATACCACGCACCATGATCAAGTAAGTCCCGCTGGGGTCCGCCTGGTGCGGAGTATGCCCTCACTCTCCCGCCCCGTTGACAGGCACTGTGCACCATCGGCGGCCGGCATTGCCCCGCTCTCCTCATGCATCACAGCATAGAGGAGGCAAAGAATTAAACGAAGGAGTCTGCATCGATGTACTTTTCCGGAGCCGATGCGGTGAGTCTACCAACCTCTGTGTATGAACCAGGCAGGGTGTGATGGGCCACCAGAGACCGCCGTGAAGAAATCTATGCAAACAGATTCCTGATGGTTTTCTTTTCCGCTTATTGCCTGAGCGGTTCTCTGTGGCATGCTTGCACCCCGGTTGCACTCCGCACCGGCCCCACAATTTATCCAGCCCTCCGCGGAGCAACTCATCACCGTGCGAGGTCCACTCCCTGTGGGGAAACCATAAGGGTTTGCAAACCTATTCTGTCTGTGACAGCTGATCAGTCCAGAAGACGCATCCCGCACAGCTCTCCTCCTTTTTGCTGCCTATCCTGGATTGCAGTCTGTTTTACTGCGTGCCTCCATCGACCTCAGCCAACCTTGTCCCCACCAGGAGGATGCAGAAGGTGCCTTTAGGTACTGATTTCGACATGGGAGTCTCAGCAGGGAGACGTCAGCACTGAGTAGCAGCAAATCAGGTAGGTAAAGGGGTGTTGTGGGGGTTGCTCATCGGGCTCCCAGCTGCAGCATTCCATCCTGGCGCACGGTGGGCGGCAGGTCTCGACCCGCCGCCCCATGGACGCCCAGGCCACTTGCTGCACAGATGAAACCATGTGGATCACATGCTCTCGTTATTTGCTGCTTGACTGGGCCCTATGTCCCGGCCAGGCGACTCATAGAGAGCAGCTGCCGCACAATTTATGGCTATCGTTCCCCAATTTGAACCATTGTACAAGGATCGAGGTGCTTGACCATCCCAATATCCTCTGCTTGGTGCAGGATCGAGCCTGCGATGCCCTCATCCATATCTCTGCAGGCTTACTGATACACTTGTCTTCCTTGCATGCCTGGCACACCAGCGCACTTCTTCCCGGTCACCTTCCTCATGGCTGTTTTGTAAAAGATTGCTTGGCAGACCTGCACCAAGTTCTGCTCAAATGTCATCTCACTCTATCACCACCCTAGTCCTGTAATGTACAGCCGGCATGCTGAGTCTAGGGGGCACCAAGAGGACAGTCTTGGTAATCCTTCAGCAAGACCCTCAACACCATCACTTTAGTTGCTTGTCCAGATCCCCAGCAAGCCCCTCGACGACGGGGTCCTTCTTGGATGTCAGCGCTACATACCCTGTGTAAAAAACAAGTGAATGAGTTGCCTAATCCCGCAAGATGGCCGACACTATGGACACACACTCGAGCCTTCAGCCATGCAGATGTGCACACTTTCAACCCTCCACCCCCCCCCCCACCTGAGGAAGCGACCATAAGGGCTACTGTTGCCCCTTGTGCAATGACGCGCGCCCGCATCATCTTCTGGGACAGTCCCTGGTTGCCCTTCTTGAACGCCACGAGACCAGCAAAAAGGACGCCGGCGGTCACCCCACACCCTGTACGGCAAGGGTTGAGCAGCAGTGGTGGTCCGGCACCGGGCTCCGTGCGAACAGTAGGTCGACTTGAGGCGATATAAATGCAAGCTTCTCCTAACAACACACCTATTAGGACGAGAGGGTTCTTCGGCTTTTTCAAGGGCTCCTCATAATCCTCCCAGTTGATCGACATGGCGCTTGCACGGGCCCACCTCGGGCGCTTGAGCAGCACTTATCAGGTACAGACTTGATTGTAATAAATCTCCACGTAGCTTGACAATGGACAGCAAATGGACGGATGAGTAGTGTCCGTCCTTTGGCACATGCATGGGTGTGAGGCCAGTCGCGCGCGCGCCTGCCTATCCCCGACACCAAGTGGAACTTTGTCCTCGTCTATCTGGAGCCCTGAGACGTGGGCACCGTTCCAACTTCTCATCAGATGCGTCTTCGGTATATTGCTCTTAGTTGGGCTTCAGTTTCCTGAGCTGTCACTCTTCCAAACTCTCACGCGCCAGACTGGGTGAGGTTGGGCCCAACCCTCCTTGGAGTCCGGTTTGATTCCCCCTGATGAAAGTGATGCCGACAGGGGCCTCCTCGGTGCCCAGACTGTTTGATGTCACATTAGACTGCTTGGCCAAGAACATAAGCACAGTTCCCAGTCTACGAGACGTTCCGGAGGACCTCGTGGTCTGCCTCTTCAAGGTGAGTGTTTCTGCACGGCCATGCCAGGAACATCCTTTAGCGGGGCGTGCTGATGCCATACCTACCCTTCAGGTTCCTCTCCTTGCCATGAAGACACCTCCTCAGTACATCGACGCCTTGCCATGCCCCACCTTCCAGAGAGTCATTCAGCAGGGGAGGCTCACACCCCGCATCCTGGAGGTGTTTGCTGCATCGGGGCACCCCGGCATACTGGACCTTGTCTCCGCCATGCGCATCCAGAGCTGGACCCCGCCCCTCCTGCTGGGCAACGGCGAGGCCTGGCTGGGCGATAAGTCGCACCTCTGGTGACGTCAGCGGCGCCGCAGCGCAGCGAGGGATGGTGGGCATGAGCCGCCGGCCCCCCTACCTTCCCCAGGCTTGCACCCGATTCCCAGGAAATGCGGCCGCGGCATCAGGACGGCGTATACACAGAGAGGTGGGGCGACACGTCGGCCACATACAGCCTGCCGCCCGCGACATGCAGGTCGTTGAGCTTGCGGCCATGGCCGACCACGTGTGGGATGGGGGTGTGCACCAGCAGGCGGCCGTCGTTCCCGCCTGACACCAGCACCGGCTGGGGCCCGGCGAGGCAGGCGAGCGACGTGGCGGCGGCGGAGTGCCAGGTGGGCAGCAAGACCGGGTGTTCGGCCAGGCCTCCCACCTCCGCCGCCGCCTGGCCGGGGGGCCTGCGCGGCGCCTTGCCAACCGGGGCCAGGCGGTGAAGGGCCACATGCCCATCCCCGCGGGCGACCGCCACGCGATCCCGGTCGCCCGGCAGGAAAGCGAGCGCATGGACCATGGGCGGGTTCAGCATCTGGCCTGCGCAGGCGTGAGGCGTGAGGGGTGCTGGTGGTGCCACCGGGAGCGATGCCTGGCCTGGGCCGGGCGGTCGGGCGGCGTCGGGCGTGCAGGTGGCGCCTGGCTGGAATGTTGCGAGGCTGCGCCTCGCACCGACCCTCGACCGGCGCCAAGGGATGTGGCGCCGGCGCTCCCTGCCCTTGGGTCGCAGCGGCTGCGGCGCAAGGATCCTCTGACTGCCCTCACACTCTAGCCCCTCCCCTGCCCTGCCCCTCCTCCCACCTGGCGACCCGCCGCCATTCTCTAGCGGCTGCAGCCGGGCGCTGGACACCTGGCGCAGGCGCCCCGCATCCCAGTGCACCAGCTGGCAGTCTGCGCCGCCGGACACCACCTCCCACTGGCTGCGGGGCCGGAAGGCCACGGCGGTGACCAGGTTGGCGTGGCCCCGCCGCAGCGTGCGCTGCTGGGGCCGGGCGGGCGCAGGGCCGGGGCGCCAGGCGGCCAGGTCCACCAGCCGCACCTCGCCGGCGTCGTCGCCGGCCGCCAGCCAGCCGCCGGTGGCGTTCAGCGACAGCGCATTCACCTCCTCGAAGTTCAGCGTGACGCTGCCGCACACCGCCTCCGGGCCCAGCGCCTGTGGGGTCGTGTGGGGGATGTCAGGGCGGCCGGCGGCACTGTGGGGAGTGCGGAGCTGCAGGGTGTGTGCGCAGTGCACCCCTGGTGCAACCCTCTGACCCTCCCTCTTCCCCTTGATACCAGCCACCGGTGCATGCCCTGCTGTACCACCATCCATTCTCTCACCTTGCGGAGGTCAAGGCAGTATATGGAGGTCTCGCTCGCTGCATACAGGACGTGCTGCTGGCTGGGATGTGCGGCTACTGCCGGGATGTCCCCCGGAAGCTCAAGGCTGCCCTGGGGTGCTGAGCCTGCTGCGTCGGTGAAGCAGAGCCTATGATCCTGCAAAGAAATCGAAAGCAATACGTTTCACTACGGCAATGAATCTACCTTCCCTGTGCCCCATTCTTGCACCCCTATGGCCCCGGTCCGAGGTGCTCCCACCTCTCCGCCGGAGACCAGGAGGGTGTCGTTGGCGCAGGACGCCAAGCAGAGCACGGCATCACTGTGACAGCTGATTCGACCCGTCCGAATCATGGTTTCCAAAGTAGATGTGGGAGCCTAGGACTGGGGAGGTGATGTACCGGGGGATGCCCAGGAGTTTCGCAGCACTTTGGGCGCAAGCGCCCTCGCCGGCTCGACAGCCGTTACAACCGCGCAAATATCGCCCTCCGCCTTACTGCGAGGAGGAAAACCCCATGCGCAATATATAATCTGTATTAACAGCTCATAACAACTGGTCATGGATTTGGCGAGGTGTCCGCAGGTCCCAGCGGCAACCGCAGGTACCGGGTTCGAGGGTGCAGCAGTAAGGATTGTTCCGCCACAGACTGGCTCCCAGCTTTTCGAGCATGATATGTGGTCAACATTTACCATCGATACGGTTTGAAACAGGATCAATGTCGTTCCCATCCCGATGCACACCGCAGCTGTCCTGGAAGAGGATGCGGCCCGGTACTGGGACCTCTTCTACCAGCGCAATGCCGGCAAGTTCTTCAAGGACCGACACTATCTGGACCGGGAGTTCCCCCTCCTCCTGACCGCCCCCTGCATACTGGAGCTGGGCTGTGGCGTGGGCAACACGCTGTTCCCCCTGGCAGCCGCCAATACGCAGGCCAGGCTGTACGCCTGCGACTTTGCGCCGGCGGCCATCCGGGTGCTGAAGCAGCATCCGCTGTACGGGGGCCGAGTGACTGCACATGTGGCCGACATCACCAAGGGCCCGCTCGCCCCGGCCGTGCCGGAGGGCCAGGTGTCGGCCGCCACCCTCTTCTTCGTGCTCTCCGCCCTGTCCCCCGAGACCATGCCCAGGGTGAGCTGGTGGTTTTGAATGATGAATACCTGGCAAGGATTGTTCTCTGCAGGCACTCAATGCATCGGCAGCGCTGCCTCGCCCAAAAGGCTCTCAACGATGAGGACGTTGGCCGCGACCCCCTTGCAGGCGCTGGAGAACTTGAAGCCATCCTTGGTCCCTGGGGGCCGGGTCCTCGTGAGGGACTATGCGCGGGGCGACCTGGCACAGTCGCGGCTGTCGGAGCCTGGCAGGGTCCAGCGCCTGGCGGACGATTTCTATGTCCGCTGGGACGGCACGCGTGCTTTTTACTTCACCCAGGTAGGTAATCTGCGCGCGGCGTGAGCCTGCAGGCGCTGTCAGGCTGCCACATTGCAAGTCGCCGGCATCTGGGAACCTCCCTAGATTCACACATGTTTTAATTTTTAAGCCCCCGGCCCCGCTCTTTGCCCTGCTCTTCCCACAGGAGGGGATGCGCTCGCTGTTCAAGGGGGCAGGCTTTGTCTGCGAGTCCCTCTCCTGCCAGAGCCGGCACGTGGAGAATCGGAAGAAGGGCCTGGCCATGCGCAGGCTCTTCATACAGGGCGTGTTTCGGCTGCCGGAACCCGGCGAAGCGAGACAGCCTTTTGTGGATGAAAGAACCAGCGCTCTCAAGGGTGTTATCAACGACAGCACGCCTGGTGAGGGCCACGGGCAGGCTGACAGCGCTGGAGCCTGCGCGGTGCAGGGCACGCCCGGCCCCCAGCCCCTCCAGGCCTGGAGCTGGGGTGGCTTCGAGGTACAGACCCCGGCGGGCCACGACGCCAGCGCGGCACAGGCTCTGGGCGACCTTGCAGCGCTGCTGGCTCCAGGGCTGGCAGGCCAGACCGTCCTGGAATGGTCTGCGGGCGAGACCATCGGCTTGGCCGCGCTCTGTGCGCTGCGGCATTGCAGGTGAGGGCGAGGAGTGGTGGGTCCAGACCTGGACCCACCCTCGGGGTGCGTGCTCTGAGCTGAGGCCTTGGTGTGGTTGTGGGGAGACATAGCACAGTGCACCCTTCCACATTTCCTTTGACTCGGCAGGGCTTGCTCTGTCTGCTTCGACGTGCACAGCTCCTTTACCCTCACAAGGAACCTGCTGCTCATTCCACATTCGAAACAGGTCGGCGATCGCGGCGGCATCATCGCAGGCCTGCCTGCCCAGCCTGCGCGCCAACACAAAATTGAACAGCCACAGGGTGGTCATCGAGCGGCTGCGGCTGCACGCCCTGGAAAGCAGCGCCGGGGATGGTCACCTGGAGGCGGTCTGGCGAGCCCACCCCTCTGGCCTGGACCTCATGCTCCTGCACCTCGACGATGCCTCTCACCTCCTCTTCACGCTTCACCTGATGTCCAAGCTGCTGAAGGCGGGCGCAGGCCGCGCGTGGCTGGTGGTGCGGCCTGGCCTCCTAGAGCGGGTGGAGGCGGGCATGGTGGATTGGCCGCACCTGCAGCAGTGCGTGGGTGGAGCTCCGGGCGTGGCAGCCATCGAGGAGTGCAGGCATGTCCGTGTTCTTGAAGTTCGAAAACACTGACATTGACACCTGCCTGCAATCGTTGCTCTACTTTATTGAGGGAGATGGAAGCTACTGTCGAAGGCCACGTGGTCCCCGAGAAGGCGCGACATCTCGGCGAAGGCGACTTCACAGTCTATAACATCCTCTGCGGGCATTTCCCACTGCAACCCAAGTCGTCGCACGTCTGCACGAGAGGTCTCCGCATCAGTCCTCCTGGCTGTCGCAGGCAATCTTGCTCCTCCAACACGGCGAGCCTGGCTGACCAGCAAGGCCCAGCGCACTGCACAAAGGACCCGCAAAGAGTTGAGGATACTCTCAAATAAATCCTAAGAAGGAGTCTGACTGCGAGAGTCCTTCCCTACCGCAGCCGCAGGAGTCTTGTAGAGGTGAGATCTCCCGGTCCAGATGCCCCTTGTGAATGAAAGGGACCACTCGATCCGCAATCATCCGCGACTGGACACAGCACTATACACTTTGAAGATGCAAGGACTGGGTAAATGGAGCATCGCTCTGTGCTGGCTGGCTCTGGCGGGGACCGTGGGCGCCCAGGCTGGGGGATCCGGATCGCGACGAGGCGGCCGAAGCATGCTCCAGGTATTGAGAACGAGACAGGGCAGGGCGATCGAGGCTTGACCTGCTCCTTCTGTGAGTGCCAAGGCAGCTGTCCAGCGGGGCATGGACGTGTGAGGCCAGGTTCTGAGTTGGCTCCCCCAGTAAGCCTGTCCAACCCACTCAATCCCCAGGACGCTTCGCCATCGCCATCTTCCGGACAGTGTCGTCAGTCCACCCATTTTGTGGTGGATGATGCTGCAGCTTGCACCACGACCTGCACTGCCAAGCTCTCCCCAGGGATGACTATCGACCCCCAGACATACACATGTAAGTGGGTGGCGGAGAGCTTGGATAGGGGGTCTGGCCTGCATGGCGGGAGTCATAGAGGACCAAAATGCAATCTGAAAGACAACACTCTCTGGGGACACATGGGTATTCCGACGAGCAGCTCCCTGCTCAGTGCGCCTTGGACCACTCCCTTCAAGCCCATGTTCCTCTTGGGAGTATTGGTTCCGGCACGGAATCAACTGCATTTCACCCCACCCCGCCCTCTATCGTTTGCGTCTACTGTGGCAGTGCCACGACCATATGTGTGTGCCGACCTTGCCTCAACAATCCAATACCAGACCCCCCTCGCTTAGCCTCAGAGTAAAAGCCACTCATCTGCCCCACCCCCGCCCCCTGACAGACAATGGCAACCTGTGCTGCATCTGCATGTTGCACACCGCACCCCCGCCCCCGCCCGGGGCGGTCGCGGCCTCCCCGCCGCCCCCGTCCACCGACTCGCCCTCGCCGACGCCCGCCGGGGACGCGCCGCCCCCGCCCCCGGGCGCACCCGCCACCACCAGCAGCAAGAAGGCGGCCATCATCGGCGGGGCGGCGGGCGGCATCCTCGGCCTCATCATCCTGCTCCTCCTCGGTGAGCGTTGGGGGTGAGGGGTGTGAGCAGGCCCTAAAACCCCGCACAAGCCCCACACAGCAGGGAGAGATTGAGGATGGGCTGCGCCAGGCCGCGCTGGGGCCCCATGCGGCCCGGGGCAGCTTTGCGTGGTGCTCTCATTGTTTTCCTGCTGGACAATCTACCCACATAAGCAGCTTGGATTCTTGTACTATGGCGCCCCGGGGTGGGCCCCGCCTTCCTACGGCTGGCCGCTGACCCATCCCAAGCATCACCACGATGCAGGCTTTGCGGTGTGCAGGCACCGCAAGGTGCACAAGCGCGAGGAGACGCAGGCGGAGATGATGGCGCACCGCTGGCGACTGGAGCGCGAGTTTGGTGCGCTGCCGAGGGGGAGCAGGGGGCCACAGGCAGGAGGTTTGACATTCCCTTTTCTTTCCCTTGGTCACATTCATCGTGTGGTGTCGGTGGCTTTCAAGCCCCAGGGACGAGCAAGAGTCCTGGGCCCTGCGCCAACCCCCTTACCACGTCCCATCGCAGTGAACGAGCGCAAGGGGGGGAAAACCGCGGGTGGGGCGGTGACGCGGGAGGCGCTGGAGAAGGCACGCCAGGCACGCATGGCGGGGGCCACCCCGCCCCCTGCCGCCCCGCCCACGGGCTACGGGCTCGGCGCCGCCGGGCGGCCCACCCCGCAGGCAGCCACCCCCATGACCGCCACCCCGGGGTCAGTGTCCCGGGGCCCAGCCGTCACGCCATCGTCCATTGCACCGTCCTCCGCGGAGCCGCAGCGCAGCGGCAGCGCACGGGGGCTGTTCAGCAGCCGGAGCGCGCGCAGCACCCCCTCCCCCTCGGTGGCGGGGCCGCCCACCTACACCGCATCCTTCCCCTCCCCCTCCACCGACAATCTGCCCGTGGACGCAGACACGGGTGTGGAACTGATGCCGGATAAGTCCTACTCGTCTGGAGGCCCTCCCAGTGGAGGGAGCTGGAGCAAGAAGGGGCTGGGCGGGCTCTTCTCCAAGAAGTAGGGGGGCCGGAATCATCGAGACCTCCCGTGTGCGAGCGCGCCGCTCCGCAGCCCCGCGCATCTCACAGTGTGTGAGATGAAGACATTCTTGATTTATCCCGCATTCAATGGGACGCTGGTCCGACATGTAGCACTTGCTATCGGCCTCAGATCACGAAGAGTTGGTTTCGACCTGTCCATGCCAGAATTCCCGAGCCTGACATTTCGCCAGCAGGCTCGGGTCGAGACGACACACGGTGATACAGGAAGATATTCACAAATCCACAATTAATTATATCCAACGTACACCCTGCCACGCTCTGGGTAGTCGTTGCGGGCTGCGTTTACTCAGTTTGAATGCAGGTGACTGGCTAAAATGAAAGGGTTTCGGGGCAAAATCCCTCTGTCCCGGGGATCCTATTGTCGGGTCCCTCCCAATTGCCGACACTCCTCTCCTCCGACACGCAGAGCGTCTCCTGTAATGATCGGTACCCTGGCCTCCCTCATATCCACCGCGAGAGCTGCTTTGAACGGCATGGAGGGCCGCTCCAGGGCTCGCGGCTCGTCGAAGCGACCGCACGCCCCTGAGGTCTCGGCGCCAGAGACCCCCACCCAGGCCATCGAATCCTCCAAGCGGCGTCGAGTCGCCGATGCCTGTCCTTTGCTGGAATTACCGGAGGAGCTTCTGGAACGAGCTCTGCTCTATTCCACGACTCCCCGGGATCTTTGTGCTATTGCCCAGTGCTCTACACGCCTGCGCACGATCAGCGATGTGAGGGCGCGGGAGCGGGCGTTCGGACGGAATTCTGGCCCGGGGCTCGATCATGTTTTTTGGGGCCGACCCACCGTCCCTGCCCTGCATGACATCGCGCTGGGTCGCAAGTACTGGTCTGTCCGAGGGGCAGACTGCCAAGGTCGTGCATGGCTTGTGGACGGCCTATGTGGTGCCAGCAAATTTCAGCCTCTGATGGCCATCCCTCAAGTCCATCTCCCATTCGACACCCATGCGCACCCTGCAGAATGCCGACGCATACTGGCGAGGCGAGTTTGCTGAGCGATGGGGCGGGTTGACCGAACTGCAGGGCGAAGCAGCCAAGCTGGCCGGCAGCTGGAAGAACTTGTATGCCTCGCGTGCTGGGACAGACAGGACGCACGCGCCCTGGCAGAAGCCCAGCCCCTTCGAGGTCCAGGTCGCAGGTGAAGGTCATTGTGTAATGTCGCTCTGGTCCTCATGCTGGGGAAAAGGAGGGTGCGCCTGGCGTTCTTTGGGCAGGCAGCTTCTTTGATCATTCTAGCCCTCGCAATATAATGTACTATATCAACCCTGGCCTTCTCGCAACTGTCTCTTCGTGGGAGACCAATGTCGCTTACTGTTCGAACAGGGAAGGGGGGGGGGGGGGGGTCGGGGTCATACTTGCCTGCGCGCTCACGCATTCCACCCCTCCGCCCTCTGTTCAGTACGCCGCCTGGTCCCCGAGACAGAGCCCGAGGCTTGTGTGGTCTTCCTCATCGATGGCTCGGGGAGCGTCACCGAAGGTGCCCTGGCATGAGGGTTGAGAGTGACTCCGTCATGTTGACCCTTTTTGTTTTTTGTGGGTGCCACCAGCTCCTCAGCATCCAGCAGATGTCGCATCGTTCCTGCGCATGCTCGAGGAAACCGCCATCTCCAACCCCATCACTTTCAGATGACTTCTCGTGCATGACCAGCTTTGTGACTCAGGCCATTGAACACCTGGACACCCAGGAGACGGCCACCCAGGTGCAGACGGGTGGTGGGGCATGGCTGAGGATGACCCGACCAGGTTTCTGGTGTCACCAGAGGTCCCTGCTTGGGTCTCAGGACGCAGTCCTGATCGGGACTCCGCCACGCCCACCCACTTGCTCTCCATGTCCTCCTCCTACATGACCTTGTGCCAGGTAGCGGTGGTCCAGTTCAGCAACGACTGCCGATTGGAGCTGGCACCCTCGCCCATCGTCCTGGATCAAATCACAAACGTCCTGGAGGGCATGGTGAATTGCGACCTCGGGCTGAGCCTGGCGTGCAATTGCAGTGGAGTCGTGCCTGTCCTGTGCTCCGTCTGTCCCTCTGTGCTCTGTGGAGTGAGGCCCCAGCCGAGCTGGTTGGGCTTCCCCACCCGCATCCCTCCTCTGGACCGCCGACCCCTTTCTCTCCTGATCACCTGCAGTACCGCATGAACGGGGGTACCAACATCAGCCTGGCAGTGCAGCGCGCCGGCCAGCTGCTGAAGCCCATGGCGCCCCGGATGCGGCGCGTGCTGGTCCTCCTCACGGACGGCCGCATCGACTCGCACCAGGTGGGAGGAGAGGGGGGTCTTGTTTGCGTCTGAGGAAAGGAGGTGCGGCCCTGTGCCAGCCGATACCTGGCCTGAGCGGCTGTGGGCTGCAGCGAGGGGGGCGGTGATCGAAGGGGGGGGGGGCGGCATGCAGCACCACGCCATGCATGCCAGGTGTGGCTCGGGGTGCATGGCTGTGCCGATTCGTGGGACCGACCGACCTCGCACCGCCCCGACCCTGCGCCTGGCTGCATGCGCAGGCTCCCCCCACCCGCCCGCCGCCCATTCTTGCAGGCTCGCGAGGCTCACGACATGGCGCAACGCCTGGCCGACGAGCAGGGCCACGTCTGCCTGTATGCCTTTGGCGTCGGGCGAGGCGTGGACCGCGCCGAGCTCCTGCGCATCATCTCCGCGCGGGACGCCTCCAGCGCAGACTCGCGGTGCGTGGCGGGGGAGGAAACGGGGGCGGGGGAGGAAACGGGGGCCCTGCGGCTGTGTAGGGTTGCGCTTGCACAGCAAATCCATGTAGAGTGCAGGGGGCCCATGGCAGGGGCGCCGGCCTGAGCAGGCTCTCCCCCCATGCCAGGAAGCTCGAGGGTGGCAGCATGCTCAATCCCCCTCCCCACCCGCTCCTCCACCCCTTGCCGTCCATCAGGTACCTGGGCCTCTGCACCCTCGACGAGTCGCCCTGGTAGAAGGGGCCCCCAGTCCTTTTACATAGCCCAGATCCGCGCTCAGCACAGATCCCAGCCTGACAGGCAGCACACGCCATGTATACCAGGAATTCCCCCCCAACCCTCCATTCACTGTGCAGCAGCCTCACCTGGCCAGGAATCTCAGCCCGCCTCATCCTCGCAGACCCCTGCAGTGTACCAATGCCCCCCTCCCACCCTTATTTTTCCCAACCCCTCCTAAGGTGGCTGTCCCATCCCCTGCCCCACGCGCAAACCGTTCGCGGGGCTGTACCCTCCCCATGCCTGCGCAGCGGAATCAGGAAGCGTTTGCAGCCTGTGTGTCCAGGACTGCTCGGAACCGCCCCGCTTCTCTCAAAGTGTGTCGCCCTTGCCAATAGCTCTGTACCAACCCCCACCACGTATCCCTGGCCGGCCTGTCATCTCCCCTCGTCGGTCCTGTACCATAGCCCATTGCCCCTGTCCCAGCCACCCCTAGAGGTGCGTACCACGACCCTGCATGTAACTTTGTAGCCCAGAGCTGGTGGGGGATGACATCACGAGGCTCAAAAATGTAGGCCGCACAGGCTAGACACGGAAAGCAGTGAATGTGTGAATAAGGTCGGGAGTGGGGGGTGAGAGATGGAAAAATATACTGAAACTCATGCTGCAAGGCCCTATGAGCCAGTGCATTGCTCCAGGTGAGCCGATCGCCACCTGTTGATGGCCGCCGCGATCTCAAACCTCCTGGGCCTCGCCAGGTCTCCAGCCGGCTCGCCGGAGTGGGTGATGGCGTCCAGGCCCTCCTGGTCCATCTCAGCATCCAGCCGATCCAGCATCTGGGTCCAGGGTGGGGGAGAGTGGGGAGAACTGGGGTTTGGAGAGATACCACTGCAGTATGCAGGGGATGCGCAGCCAGGTCGAGGGTACAAACTCAACCGTGCTGCACAGCCGGAAAGGACTCGTGCAGGAACCAGCACTGCCTTGTGTTGCTCGTGGAGCACCGAGGTGGGCCTCTGCCGGCCCCTGCCAGCCTCTGCCTCGCACCTGAGGGAGGGTCAGGGCCGGGCCCTGGGGCAGCATCCTGGCAGCCCATCGCAGACTCTCCCCCACCGCCCTGGTCTGCGAGATCTCCACCAGCTGCTCCACGGCACTGCAGGGAGACAAGATCTTGTTGGTGACCTGATGTTCTGGCGGGCATCCATCTTGCAAGACTCCCTCCATCCATTTCGAGGATGACTCCTCAGCATTCTGAGACCTATGGGGTCTGCCTCAGGCATGCGCACCGTACCTGAGATCCACCTCCTCATCGTCAAGAGTGAGGCTGCCCTTTGCCCTGGTCTTCAGCTTCAGCCGTGGGGCTGGAGGATAAAGGTGGGGAGGAGGGGATCATGCGCCGGGCAGCAATCGTTCCAAGCACCGAAAGTATCAGGTGCGCATTCTCCTCTTGGATCGTTCGTATGCGCTGGCACTGCGCACCAAACCCCCTCCTTGCGGCATGCACCAGCCCTCCCGCGCCCTCTGTTCGGCGGCCTTGCATGTGCCCAGCCGCCCCGCTCACCACCACTGGCGGCGGCCGCCAGGCCCGCCAGCCGCCGTGGCGGCGGCGCCGACCACTCGCGCGGCGGTCTGCCCTCCTCGCGTCCCGCCCCGCCTTCCGCGGCAGCAAACTCCGTCGCTATTCGCTTGGCCTGCTCGGTGACGTCCCGTACCTCGTACTCCTCCATGCACAGCACCGTGTCCTGACGAGTGTGGGGAGAGCAGGACTTGACATGTGCTTGCTGCGGTTGATCTACACCGGCAGGATAGCATCTGGGAGGGCGCCAGCCGGGCTGCTGAGGTGCTAATCCTGACACAGACTTCCCTTCCTTGGGAGACTACCCGCCGGGCACCACAAATGTCCCTTCCCCTCCCCCCTACCCCGCCCCAGACTCCAAAGCAGACCCCCTTTAGGACGCACCGCGACGCCAAAGTAGTCGCCCGACCCGCCGATGACCATGACGGTGGACACGCCGCACGCCGCCAGCCGGCGCACGTGCTCCACAAATGGGGTGATGGGCTCCTTTCCACGCGACACCAGCGCTCGCATGCGCGCATCGCGGATCATAAAATTAGTGGCCGAGGTGTCCTCGTCGATCAGCAGCGCAGTCGCGCCGGCCTCCACCGCCTCCTGGATGTTGGCTGCCTGGGAGGTGCTTCCCGAGGCGTCAGCGCTGAGGAAGGCGCGCGTGCCTCGCCCCCGAGGCAGGTGCCCGATGAAGGGCGAGATGTCGACGCCGCAGACGCGCCGCCCGTCCTCGGCCCGGATTTTCACCGCCCGCGGGTCTGTCACCACCAGCTCACGCCCGTCCCCGGGGATCTGGATTTAGGGTGGTTGCGGGAAGGGAGAGGTTGGCAGCGGGCTAGGCGCGGGAGGAGGTTGAAGCGTCAAGGGTGCCACCCTCGACGGCAGGCATGGCGCCCTGGCATGCTGAGCTCCGAGGCGCTCCCCTGCGACGCGACAGAGGCCTGCACCTCTCCTCATCGGTTGCATGTGGCCTTCACTCCCCCCCTTTCTCCCTCTCAGCTCCCTCGTCCCCACACAACCCCCTCACCCTGTCGTAGACCCCGCCCTCCAGCGCCTGGAGGAGCGTGGACTTCCCGTGGAAGCCGCCGCCCACGATCAGGGTGACGCCGCGGCGGATGCCCAGCCCCCGCACCCGGCCAGCGTGGGGCAGCGTCAGCACCACCGCCTGCGACTCCGGCGCGCGGGAAAGTACGGCCCACGCCGCAGGCATGGGCGCCTGGCTGGCGCCGTCGGCGCGCGGCAGCACCGCGCCGTCGGCCACGAAGGCCACCAGGCCCAGCGCGGGCAGCGCGGCGCGCGCGGCCGCGGCGTCCTCGGCCGCGTCGGCGTGCGCCGCCAGCGCGGCGGCGTCCAGGCTGGCATGGCGCAGCGCGGCGTTGACGTAGCGCGGCAGCGCCTCGGTCAGCACGCTGCGCGCCCAGCGCCCCAGCACGGACCGCCCCGCGGCGGGCAGGGCCACGGTGAAGCGCGCTTCCACGTGGCCTTCGTGGCCCACCTGGACGGCGGTACGCTCCAGCACGTACTGTCCGGGTACGTCCACGCCCATCTCGCCGCCCTTGGCCCCCGCCCAGCCCACCGCCGCGGCGCGCACGTCGCCGCCGGCGGCCGCCACTGCCTCGCCGAAGCGCCGCGCCAGGAAGTCGGCGCAGGCCAGGCGGCGTGGGCGGGGTCGGAGCAGGTGGGAGGGGAGGCCGGCCGTGCCAGCCGGCACCACCACTCGGCACCGGCTGGGGCTGGCGTAGGGGTCTCCCTGCACCCGGTCCACCCAGAGGGTGAAGCCGGGGAAGTCCCAGCCGCCTGCGATGTCGTGATAGGCGCCGTACCCCTTGCCGTCGATGCGCTCCAGCTCGGAGGCCAGCTGAGCGGGGCTGCCGCGCCGTGGGCCGGGGGACCAGCCTGGCGCATCGTCCTCCGCCTTGCGGATGTGGCCGGTGTACCGAGGGGTCCCCCCTGACTGATCTACGGGTGGGGCATGGGTTTCACTGTTCAGGAGGTTACAACATGCACATGACAAGGGGATTGGCCAATCAGAAGGCCGCTTTACTTCGCTCTCTCCGCGGCGTGGCACCTGCAGGGGGTCGGGGTCCGCCACGCCCGCCACCACCGTACTTGGACCTGTAGTAGGCACCCCTCCCACCCCCACGCCCCGACATGATCGAGTACAGGGTGTGAGAGCTTTAGTCTAAAAGTTCATATCCAATCACTGATCGATTGCATACCCTTCATGACGGAAGCATGCATGCATGTGCGTGTGTTGTTCATACAGGAACCCGATCTCCGTAGTGCGTCGCCTGCTGAGCTCGGCACGACCCTGTTCGAGCTGAGGATTTTAACCCTGGCCCCTCCGACCCTTGCCGATAGACCGGCTCGATTGATCGGGACGAGCAGAGGCGTTGCTGTACGGATCAGATCCGAGACACGGGTGCGTCTCCTGGCATCGGGTCCCCCTCGCGCTCCTCCCCTCCCCCGCCCGCTCCCACTGGGGTGGCAAGGGCTGGGAGTACACCGGCGCCCCACCCCCCCGTTCCATACCCGGTGGCTTGATGGGCGCAGGAGGTTATGGTCTCGCCATGAGTCTTGCAACGCCCAGGTAAGGGTCCCAGCCGCAAGTTGCTGGCCACCAGCTTCCGGCCAGGGCACGGCAGGGGCCGGGGAGTGGCCCCCGCATCACATGCGTTGGACCCCTCCTGGGACTCTTTACCATTCCCAAAGGCCCTCATCATTTGAGCCTCCTCCTTCTTCGTCAACCCCCCTCCCCCAGCATCGCCCCCGGCGCGAGAGCAGCCCTGCGCCCGGCGCCCCAGCGAGCCCTCTGGCGCCCCGCCCCCCGCTGCCCCCGCGCGCGGTCCTCGCCCCTCCCCTTTCCCCCCCGCCCGCTCCCCCGCCCCGCCCACGCCTCGGCCGTGGAGTCCATGCTGGCCACCGCCAGCATGGACGAGGGCGAGGGCCCTAGCGTGGATCTGGACAACGAGGCCGCCCCCGGCCAGACGGTGCTGCGGGTGACCGGCCGGCGGGACGCCGCCTCGCTGGCGCGCGTGGCCCAGGTGCTGGCAGACCAGGGCATGTCCATCCGCTCCGCGGCCATCGGCAGCCAGGGCGGCGGCGACGTGTACCACCTGACCACACGCGCCGGCGGCGCAGTGGCGGCCGACGCCTGGCCGCCGCTGCGCGACGCGCTGCTGCGTGTGCTGCTGCACACCACGCGCTCCAGCAAGCCCAGCATCCACGGCGCGGCGGTGGACGTGGACGCGCGCGCGCTCAAGGCCGTGGCCTCCGAGGCCGATGCGGCGGCGCTGGAGAGCGCGGCGCGCGAGATGGCCGCCGCCGCCGAGGCGCTGGTGGGCGTGGAGCGGGAGATCATCGCTGCGGGGGATGAAGTCAGCACCAACGACCTCCTGGCCAAGCAGGCGGGTTATCAGGGTTTGGGTGGGTTGGGTGGGTGGCTTCAAGGGGGGTCCATGGGGTACTCCAGAGGTGCCGAGCCTGGTCAGGGGATAGCGCAGCCACCTGCAGGCCTGAGATTGGGTGGAGGGAGAGGGATGATAGTGCGCTCCAGCCTGAATTTCGGCGACACTGCTCATGACCTGATGTTTGTCACCCTGACTCTCTCATGCGCAGTCCCCCTTACCCCTCCAACCCCCACAACACCTAACGACAGAGCCAGCGGTACGAGGCCTCGGCCCTGCTGGAGCGGCGCATGGCGGCCATGGAGGCCATCCTGACCAGCCGGCGGGAGCTGCTGGAGCGCGCGCTGCAGTCCTCGGTGGCTGTCCCCGACTTTGTCAAGCCGCAGACGGTGCAGACCACGGGCCCCGCTGCGGGCAACGGATATGAGATCATCCTGCAGGCCTTCAACTGGGAGTCGTGCAAGGAGGCGTGGTGGAAGAAGATGGCGGCTCTGGCCCCCCGCGCGGCCGAGGTCGGGTTCACCTCCGTCTGGCTGCCGCCGCCCTCGGACGCGGTGTCGCCGCAGGGCTACCTCCCTCGCGACCTCTACGACCTCAACTCCAAGTACGGCAGCGAGGCGGAGCTGCGCGACTGCATCGCCGTCGCGCATGAGGTGGGGCTGAAAGTCATCGCCGACATCGTCATCAACCACCGCTGCGCACACTACCAGGTGTGTGTCTGTTCGTGAGGGGTTTGTGTTGGGGACGGGTGAAAGTGGCCGCCGGCACACCGGTGTGCGGGCGTGCGACCATGGTGCCGGTTGTGCAGCCGGCACCGCACGCTGGCTGCCTGTTGACAACATTGTCTCGGCTGTGCAGGGCTTCCTACGGCAGTGCCAGAATCCCGCAAACCGCTCAAAATTCCGGCTGACACGGACACACCACTCGATCCCCTCCACCCACACCCCATTCCAGGGGGACGATGGCAAGTGGAACAAGTTTGGTGGGCGCCTGGCTTGGGACAGGACGGCCATCTGCTCCAACAACCCGGCCTATGGGGGAAAGGGGGCGTGGAAGAAGACCGACGACTACCCTGCAGCGCCCAATCTGGACCACACCAACGTGAGTGGGCATGTGTTGGAGAAGGGCATGGGCGGACGGCACTGCTCTCTCTGGGCATGTATCAAAAACGCCCCGGTCCAGAAAACACTAGTTTCCTCCTTCCATCCCCATGGATGTGCAGGAGAGGGTCCACAAGGGCCTGATCGAGTGGATGAACTACCTCCGCAACTCCATCGGCTTTGATGGGTGGCGCTTCGACTACGTCAAGGTGGGCTGGTGTCGCCGGGTCGCGGCTGCCAACGCACCACGGTCTTTTGCTTGTCGTGTAGCATGGAGACGAGGGCATGCCCGCCTTCCTGCCGCGGCCTCCCAAGTCTACCCCAGCCCTCGTTCCGACGCCCCACCATGACCCACCCACCCCTGCATACATTACTACTGTGCGTCAGGGATACGAGGGGCGCTTCGTTCGGGACTATGTGGACGCCACGGTCCCCCAGATGGCGTTTGGGGAGTACTGGGACACCTGCTCCTACACCGATGGCGTGCTCAACTACAACCAGGACGCGCACCGCCAGCGCACCGTCGACTGGTGCGCTGGCGTGCTGGAGGGTGCGGGGTTGCTGCGTTCTGACACCCACACCTGCGGCCGCATCCCGTCCCAGCAGCTCCCGCTCACCCCCGCTCGCCTCCCCTCCTGTTCTCAAGGTGCGACGCCACCGGGGCGACCGCGGCGGCCTTCGACTTCACGCTCAAGGGCATCCTGCAGGAGGCCGTCACGCGGCGCGAGTACTGGCGCCTTATCGACTCGCGTGGACGGCCGCCCGGCGTGCTGGGCATCTGGCCCTCCCGCGCCATCACCTTCCTGGAGAACCACGACACGGGGTCCACGCTGCAGCACTGGCCCTTCCCCTGGGAGCACGCGGCGCAGGGGTACGCCTACCTGCTGACCCACTGCGGCACGCCCTGCGTGTTCTACGACCACATGTACTACGACGTCGAGCTGCGGGAGCACATCACCAAGCTCATCGCCATCCGCAAGCGCTTCCGCATCAACAACAAGTCGGAGGTGTGTGTGTGTGGTGGGGGGTGGCAGGGGAGGTGGAGAGCCGTGGAGGGGATGATGTTGGTTGGGAATGGGTGGGGCAGGGGGCCTGCCGAAGGTAGGGGAGCTTGGGCGGGGGTGCAGCCCTTCTTGGTCGAGGAAAAGCACCAGTACAGGGCGACGCGCTTCTCTGCAAGTAAGATACTGCCGTCGTCTCCCCGGCATCGTTCTCACTCCTCCCCTCCCCCCATTGGAAACCATGCTGGCAGGTCAAGATCCACAAGGCGTACGGCGACCTCTACTCCGCCATCATCGACAAGAAGGTGGCGATGAAGATTGGGCCGGGGGATTGGTCCCCCACCTCCGACAAGGTGGACGTGGGCCAGAAGGAGTGGAAGCTGCTGCATTCGGGCCCCAATTTTGCCGTCTGGGAGGCCGTGCTCTGAGCGAGCGAGGTGTCCAGCTGGTGTCTGGTCAGACGCACGCCGGAGGCGGCACGCCCTCGTGCCCGGCATGTCCGTCAAGTACACGCAGGGCCCCGCTGCTGGGCCCCCTTGGGCCCCCCCAGGGGACTGCGCCGGCGCATGAGGGGACTTTAGGCCCAGCTGTGCTGCCTGGGGCCACGCTCGCCCCAGGCCTCCAGACCGCCCTGCCAACCTTGATCAGCCGCCTTGCTGCCACCTCCGGGGGTGTCCCTTGCCCCATGCCGCTGATGCTTGCGCTCTTCCTCCTGCACCCCTGTACCTGACCTCACTGCTTCCACCGAGGCATGACGCGGTACACCGGTCGAGGGCGGGAAGCAGTGGCCCGGAAGGGGGCCCTGCACGGGTCTGGCGCAGGGCAAGGGCATGGGGCCAGCGGGAGGGGCTGAGCCTGCCCCGTGGCGAGCCAGCGCCAATGCTGGGGTCACTCTTCAGCGTCCAGGCTGCGGTGCATCGTTCCATCAGCCACCTTGCCGCCAGCGCCTGACCATGGCGTGCCGGCCGTGTCCTTGCCCCGGCCGCCACGCCGCAGCCTGCCTGCATCCCTGGGGCAGCATGAGGGGGGGTTGGGGTGGGTGCAGCGGGGTGGTCAGGGTATGATGTCCTGCGTGCAAGCGAGGCAGGAGGCATGCATCAGCTGGAAGAGGAAACAAGTTCCAGGCTGCAGGCTTCACACCTGGGCAACACACCTGGTCCAGGCACTGGTGGCGGGCCTGTGCGGGGCGGCGGCCATGGATGCCAGGTCCGGCGCTCGGTCCGTGCACGAGGCTGACCACGCAGGGGGAGGCACGACTGCCTTGCTGCAGCTGGACGTCATTGCTGTGTGCGTGGGCGCCGGGCTGCTGGGTCCCTGTAGTGGTTCTGAAGACCTAGTGGTTGATCGAGCCCTGAAGCCTATAGATGCGAGCGCCGCGCCGGCCAGCAGTGTGAAGAGGTGGGTGCCTAGAGCCCAGCCTGGGGTGGATCCGGCCGTACAGGCGCCGACTGGCTCATCTGCGGAGTCTGAGGGGCTTGAGGGGCGCTCGAGCTTGTTGCAGCGCTCTCCAGTCGCATAGGCGAGGGCTTCTGTCCAGGCTGGTCTGCACTGGAGCTCTCTCATATACTCGAAGACGTCCACGCAACTCCAAGCCCCAGACAGATCGCTCGCCCCATGCAGGCCCCTGACGTCCAAGGACACGTCGAGGGCTGCCCAGCCGTCCACTGGCAGCAACCGCCGGCGTGAGCTGCATGGCTGGGAGTGACCATCTATACCTGGACCTTCCAGGTCGACCAGGAGGGCCAGGGGCTGGGTGTCACTGCCTTGGTCTGAGAGCTGGACAGAGATGATGTCGGTGAAGGATACACTTGCGCCAAATTTACCAAGTTTCAGACAGACCGGCTTGGGACTTGTGGTTTGGACCTTTCCGTTGGCGAGGAGCAGGCTCAGCGCCATCGTATAGCAGGCATCAGTGCCTGGCATGACGTCAGCGGTGAGTTTCCTGCACACATGGTAGGAGGCAATGAGGTGAAATATTACCATGTCATGCGACTTGGATGCTCCACGCGCAATGATGGACCGCTCAACCAGATCGTTGTGCGAGTTCATGCATGACAGTGCCGCCTTGCCCAGGCCACTCACCCAGACACCACGAAATGGTTGTTAACAGCCAAGTCGCTTTCGTTCATGACAGCATGGCTTCCCATTGTCATGAGACTTGCTGTAATGACGATTGCTGTGAGTTTCGAAGGGATATACATCCAGATTACATGCAGCAGCCCAATCAGTGGTTCGGTGCACCTGCCAGACGCATGATACCTCCGTGATCACCCATGAGAGCCCGGGTAGATGGGTGGAACGATGAATGTGTGATTAACATGACATTTCAGTGCTCTAGCATCCTCGACGCGGTGTTGGGAAGCGCAATCCAGCCGCGCATGCCTCCACCCGGAAAGGTTCATGGATTTTGAAATGAGCGTTGCTGGAAAGAACGGAAGCCATGCTGCTCCTGCAAGGCACAGAGGTATGGCCCTCTCATTCCCTATCCTACCTCTTCCACACTGCCTGATATCATGGACGGTCACAGACCAGTGTGGTGTCAATGGTAACAGGTCATAATATGGGAAATGGGCCACATCCAGTGTGGCATCTTGTCTTTAATGGAATGGTCTTTAGCTGTCTGGGATACCCATTCAGGGCCCAGGCCTCGGCCCCAAACTCTGTGCGCTCCAGCCCTGGTAGTGAAAAATGGTTCAAGCTCCTTGCTTGGTGACCTTGGCCTCCTCCTCCACACGACCAGCAGTGCCTAAGTCAGCAGCACAGCCGTCGCCCTGCTTTGCAGCCGCCTCTGCATCCTCCTCATTTTTCTCTGTGGCTGGCTCATCCGCCTCCGCGTCCTCAGCCCCCGCCTCAACCGCGTCCTCGCCCACATCCGCCTCCTCGATCACCGCCCAGTCAGCATCAGCAACCTGCTCGTGACCAGTCCCAATGACTGCATCGTTGGCCGCCTCCTCCGCCACTCGCTCGTCAGCCGTAGCAGGCAGGGCTTTGTACTCCACTGCCGGCGGAGCGAGGCGCTTTTGCAGCTCCGCGTTTTCCAAGTTCAGACGCTCCAACTGCGCAGCGGCGTCTGCGACTGCGGCGGCCGTGGCGGCCGCCCCCTCGGCCAGCTGCAATGGTGGTTCGGGGAGGGGGGGGGGGAGGGTGCTTCAGGTGAGGCCAAGTCTCTGTGGCGGCCCAAAGCTGGTCGCGCTGACGACTGGCCCCCATTGCGCTACCTCGTCGGGGAGCTTCAAGCCCTCACACACGTTGAAAGCCTCTCCAGGAGACCCCAGGAACCCCTCAAGTCCCCTTCTACGCAGCCCCTACGCACCTGGGCCTTGGTCTGGGAGTGCGCCGTCCTTTCCTGGGCCAACTCGGCACGCAGCTCCACAACCTCCTCCTGGGCGCCTGTGAGGGGATGCAATCGGTTGAACACGCTTCAGTTTGACCGTGGCTTGATCGGCAGGGCAGCTCGGGCCACAGAGACCGCAGGTACTCCAAAATCGTCAACCCCAGGCACGAAATGCCTGCGAGTTTCTCCAGCCAAATGGCCTCGCCCCCTTTCCCACACTTCCTCCCCCCTCCCAACCTCCCCACGCCTTTCCCCCTCGGACCCCACACACTCACCAGTCTCGATGACCTGCGCGGAGCACGCCTCCTCCAACTCGTCCTCCAGGAAGCGCAGCCGCTTGTGCGCCGCGTCCAGCTCGGCGTGGGCCTCGGCGGCCTCGGCGCGCGCGGCGGCGGCGGTGCGCTCCGCGTCGCGCGCGTCGCGCCGCGCGTCGCGCAGCTCCAGCTCCCCCGTGCGCAGCTCGGAGCGCAGCTCGCCGATGGTGAGCGTGGCGGCCGCGGCCGCAGCCGCCGCGCGCTCCTCGCGAGCCTCGTCCTCGGCCCGGCGCGCCTCCAGCAGGGCCAGCGCGGCGCGGAGCTGGGCCGCCTCGCTCCGCGCCTCGGCCGCGCGCCGCTCCTTCTCGGCCACCGCTGCGTGCGCGACCTCCAGGTCGTGGCGCTGCTGCGCCACCTGTGCGCGCAGCCGGGCGGCCTCGTCGGCGGCGTCGCCTTTGGTCGCAGCCATGGCAGCCATGG